GGAAGGAAATTTTTTGACTGGAGGGAGGGAAGGAAGGAAGGGAAGAAAGTTTTTTGACTGGAAGGAAGGAAGGAATGAAGGAAGGAAGGAACTTTTTTGACTGGAGGGAGGAAGGAAAGAAGAAAGCAAGTTTTTTGACCGGAAGGAAGGAGGAAGGAAGGAACTTTTTTGACTGGAGGGAGGGAAGGAAGGAAGGGAAGAAGAAAGTTTTTTGACTGGAAGGAAAGAGGAAGGAAGGAAAGAAGGAACTTTTTTGGCTGGAGGGAGGGAAGGAAGGAAGGGAAGAAGAAAGAAAACAAGTTTTTTAACTGGAGGGAAGGAAAGGAAGGGACCTGCCCTCTCCCCACCCCCCGCCCTCCACTCCAATTCCTTTTCTCTACCTGCTGCAGCTCCGTGAAGAAAATCTCCCTCTCCGCCGCGTTGGACGCCATTGCTATTGGGTCTGGGTTTCGCACCTGGACACCGCCGCCGGGGAGGCGGGTCTGGACCGGGACGGGGGGGAAGAGGAGGAGGAGAGCGGCTCTGGCTCGCACCCTCGGGCGGCCGGAGGAGCAGAGAGCCAGGGCTGTGCGTGTGTGCCTGTGTGTGTGTGTGTGTGTTTGGGTGGGTGGGGGGGTGTTAACCCCCTCGACTCAGATTCCCATGAGGGAAAGGGGGGAGCTTCACGTCGGGACGGGCGTCGCGCTCGCTCCCGCCCACCGCCCGCGCGGCCCTCCCGTTTTTCTCCTCCCGCCCACCACGCGCCCGACTCCTCCTCCTCCTCCCCAGCTTTGGGCGCCGCCGCTCCTTGTCGCGCCCTTTGGTTGTCACCCTGCCGCAAAAGCAGGAGTGCTTTGCGGCTCTTTGGATCAGGTGACTGCCCGGGGGTGGGTGGGGGCTAAGGAGGAGGACGCCAAGCCTTCTGCAGGCTGGGGAAAATCCTAGCGTCTTCCTTTTTATCGGGAAAGGTCGGGCGAGGAGGCAGCGATTCTCTCCCCCCCACCCCCCTTTCTCTTTTAAATCACAACCCGTAGACATTTTTTTTCTCCTTTTCCCCATCATTAGGCAGTAAAAGAGGGGATTGTGCCATGTTAGAAGTCATGTTAGGTATCTAAGCAGTAAAATCTCAAACCTAAGAGACGCAGCCTAGAATTTGCTGTATCTCTTTGCTGCCGTGTAATAGTTATCCAGAGTTTTAGATTTGTTAAGCCAAGGTGATATGAACAGTAGCGAAGTACTGCTTTAAAGGTTTTTTTTTTTAAAGTAGCCTCTTCATCTTTTATTTATTCATCAAATTTGTATATCTGCCCATCTCACTAGAAGTAACTATGGGCAGCACACAACAATCATAAAAGAAAAGAAAAAAGAAACCAGAGGTTTCTAAAAACAACAGATGCAACAGCTATTGAAAAAATTCTACATTAAGAAATAAATATTATAAAGACAATGTGCCAGTTTGACGTAGTGGTTATGGTGTTCGCCTAGAGAGAAGAGGGTGAGTTGTAATCCTGATTTAGGCATGAAAGTCAGCTGGGTGACTTTGGACCAGTCACACTCTAGCCCAGTTCACATCAATGGGATGTGAGGGAAATGGAAAGGGTCATTGCGCTGCATGTGTTCGCTACCTTGAATTATTTGTAGAATAGAATAAAAACTTTTGTCACTTTAAATGTACACTAACCTTTCAAATGAAATTGCATTCAGGTCTCAAAAGAAAACCATTATGCATATACCCACATATCCACACATGGCACAAAGGAACATCACAATCTAATTTGATTGTGTATACACACACACACTCACAGAGAGAGAAAAAAAAGAATCCTGCAGATGGCATAAGGAATAAAGCTGTTACAGAAACTAGTAGTTCTGCTAGAAATACTTTGAAACCTCCCAGAGGTTTCCCAGAAACAGACCATGAAGTGGGTATGTGGAGTCTCTAACGATGCTTTGAACTCTTAAGTACACAGCATTTATAAGCAATATCCTGATTAATGGGAAACAAGCTTCTTAAAATCTTCTCAGTTTTCCTTACCACTCTCTGTATGGACCTTCTATTGGAGGCACTGCTACCACCAAACCAAACAGTGAGCCGTTTGTTAAAATGCTCTCAATCGTGCCTCTGTAAAAAGTGGCCAAGAGAGAAGGAGAAAGATGTGTTCTCCTCATCCGATGCAGGACATGCAAACACTGGTCTGCACGCTTCATTAAAGATAACGCATGAAGAGATCAAGTCAAGATTGTTAGTTACCTGTACCCCAAGATACTTAATACTATAAAAAATAATAAAGGCAGAATATAAATAAATTGAAAACTAAAGGCTTATGTGCCTATTCATTATTGCCCACTGCTATTAGATTAGCTTACCAGGGACAAAAGTATACCATAGGTTGCTCCATAAAGCAATTTGCTCCTGGTCTGTAAAATGTCCAAAAGAAGAGCATGAGTCCAATCCTGCTGAGTGCAGAAAGTATCCCAGGCACATGGCTGTCTAGCTCCTAGTTGAACATGTCCACGGAAGAAGAACCATCTACATCACTGGGTAATTGATTCAACTGTCAAACTCCTCTTAGTTTTGCCTAACGATGTTTTGTCTAACATTAAGTCAGAATCTATGTTGCTTAACTGTATTATTTTATGTCCTGTACCCTTGATGTGGGAGACACAGCATTCTTCCCATAATTTGGAAATTATATTTCTGTTGATGCAGCTTAAAATGTTATTTGTTTAGCATCTACATCCCATTGTTGACTCATACTCAAGCTTGCAATCCTACTAGTGTATTGCAATATCTTTTTCATCTGGACTAACCCTAAACCAAGCACGATTGGCTGATTATATGCTATCTGTACATCTCCCCACTATCTTATTTGTTTGTTTATTGTTTATAAATTCTATGTTCTACAGTAATAAAAAGTTAACTTTAGACCAACAATCAAGCAAGCAATACCCCAATCAAGAATCTGCCAAAGAGCGATCAGTAAACAGCCCAATCAAAGAATCTCTAAGACCGTCCCCACCCACACAGGCAGGCAAGACAGCAGAATATAAACTGACAGCAAACAGCACTCCTTGAAAGCACTGATGATGTTACCTAGTTAGGGTAATGAAATGTCTGCAAGAAAACAAGCAAGCTCAGAGAGCACCAAGGACCCCTTGTTTCTAAATTGTTTAAATGGATCAATCAAAATAGATCAATCAGAATAGAGCTGGAAAGGACCTTGGAGGTTTTCTAATCCAGCACCCTGTTCAAGCAGAAGATCCTATACCATTTCAGACAAGTCTCTTCTTAAAAACCTCCAGTGATTAAGCACCCACAACAACTGATCCAGAATCTAGAAATAGTTCCAAATGACCTGTAAAGTCATTAAAAAAAAAAAGCAGCTAAATCCTTTCTTTTTTGCTTTTAGAGAATAGTTTCCATTCCAGGAAAATTCTAGCCCCTGTAAATATTATTCTATATTTCCAATAAAAGTGAACGGCAGTCAGAATTCATGACTAATTCATGATCCTCTTTAGAGTGATTTTTCACCTTAACATTGAACATTAAAGGACACAGCAGGGGTGGGATTCTATCGGTTCAGACCGGTTCTATGGAACCGGTTGTTATGATTCTGTGCAGTTTGGACAACCGGCAAATCATGCCCCTGGCTGGACCCGCCCCTCTCCGCCTCTCCCTTCCCTCCCTGCCCAGTCAGTCCTTATCGCGCATGCACAACATTGTGCGTATGTTCGACATCCTGACTGCGTTCTTTCCTGCCCAGTCACTCCTTAAGGCATTTTCCCCCCTGTTCCTATGATCAGCTGTGCCAGGATTCCCCTCACTTACTTACTGCTTCACCCAGGAAGCTTCCCTGAGGCCCAGGAAGGCAAAAAATGGAGGGGGTGCAGCACCTCCTTGCCCCCCTCCATTTTTTGCCTTCCTGGACCCCAGGAAAGCTTCCTGGGAGCAAAAACACCTCCCCGGGAGGCTTCCCTGAGGCCCAGAAGGCCCAAAAAACGGGGAGGGTGCTGCAAAAAAAGAAACCATGCCCACCCAGTCCCTTGGCTACACCCACCTAGCCATGCCCACAGAACTGGTTGTTACAAAATTTGAATCCTACCCCTGGGACACATCCATTTGCAACCAACCATTTTAGTGATGTTAATCTAATTTGAAATTAAAGAGTCTATTACCATCTGCAGGGGAAAAATAAACATTAAGTACAGGTTGTATTTCTTCTTAAAAATGAAATAATTAACATTATTGGGAGCTTTGTTATGTCAGTTAGCATATCCAGCCTTACTGAGTAAGCCCAATAATCATGTTATTTTATCATGAAAAAAAACAAAATTTCAAATTCTATCAAATGGTTTGTTAGCCCAAAGAGCACTTTCTAGGAACAAAGACCTTTCTAAAATGCAATGAGTCATAGAGCAACTTAACCTAGTTTACAAACTAAATAAGTCCAAGTTTACATCAGACTATAATCTTGAAGGTGTGTCCTACTGAACTCAGTGAGATTTTACTGTGAATGAACTTTCTTAGGACTTGACTGCATAAATATTTGTTTTAGTCTGTTTGCCAGAGATAAAGGTTATCAAAATTCTGTAAAGATAATTTACATCTATTTTGGAAAGTGAACTGATTCAGATTTAATAGTCCAATAAAAATGGCTTATTGGAACAAAATTTAATATACCATACATTCTTCATCATGTTTGCAGCTCTTTCATGCAAAGCTTCTGGGACTTTTTAAATAGTCTGTGTTCAGATTTGGAATCCCACTGAAAACTATGGTATTAAATTTTTTTGTAGCCAGATACTAAATCCCACTTCAAACATAATCACAAACCTACATTTTGCGTTCACCTATGCAAAATAAATAATTTGTGAATCCACTCAATTTGTTAAATCATATAGTGGTTTGATTTGATTCCTTTGATGGATATAAATCCATCTGTGGGTTATCCAATACATCAAGGCTGAAGCAAACCTCTGTTGAAGCCAGACCATAGTTGTCCCTGTGTTATGAGAACCTAGACAGCAGTTCTCTTTTTTTGAGTCATTATTTCTGGTTTGGAATTGACTTGCAAGTATTGCATAGTTGTACTATTAACTTTTGAATTCGGGTATTATTTTTAAAAAAATCATGAACACAGTAGCAATAGTAATTAATAGGTGCAGCAGATAAAACAATTTATAACAAGGATTTTGTTCCATTAAAATTCCTTAGCTAGATTGTAGAAAGCTAAGACAGTAGGTGTTAAGATGAGCCTACCTACATAAGAAATTCCATGAAGCCCTCCCTGTTTCTCTATCAATAGGCATGATGCCTTCACTACAATTAGGATATGAAGAAGAATTTGCCTTGCCTCTTTTTTCAAGGCTAAGGTAAGGTGGCCTTGTATGGGTGAATTTGAAGCTAATGCAACTGTTGCAAAATGAATGCAACAGGCCAGGAGATAGAAGTCTTCTAAAGATCTGAGTAAATTTGTTACGGTTTATCTCAGGGTCTGTGCTTTGGAATATACACGTACAAGTAGACAGAACATGCCCTTCCTGGACTAATATAAAACAAAGGGAATTTAATTTATTAATTAATACTTTCAATCTTTCAACTAAATTTGGCTGGGAAAGGTGATTCTGGGTTTTATCAGGGATGCTTCACAAGAGGATGTGCTTATCCAAAAACAAGAATGTCTGACTACGTTCAAGTATAAAATTGGCTTACTAAAACCTGGGGATTTGGAAC